TTTGATCTTTGTGGCAATCGATCTTTAATATTTACTTAGTATGCCTAATTAAATGCTTATCATCTTTTTTTGGCGCTCCAGTGGTCGAATTACAAAATTGCTATTTCTGCGGTCGCGTTAGCTGGTATATCTGTGATGGTTGGTGGAGCCTTTTTTCATTTCGGTGGACAATAGTGTTGTCTTCTCTTTTGTGTGTATTTATAGCTAATTAATTCCTTCCAGTATATTTAGTAATCGTTTAACAACGTACTTTCATTCCATGCGGTCAAATTTGCTCATTATGATCTGTTTATTAAATATACCATTTAACCCTTTTCATAAATGTGAATTAAAATCAATGATTTAATATTTTGCTAACGCATAAGTCGACGCATATTTATAACAGCAGTCTTAATGAAGTCAAAACATGGGTTGCGATAAGTAAAAGCTTGGTTAAAGAGATTGCAATGATTCAAACGAAAAAGTGGAGTTTGTGGAACGAAAGTTGTTGCGGTTGTTGTCGTCGATATTACAAGTCAGGAATTTTAATCTTTCTGCATCTTCATTTGCCGCATTCGCCATCTGGGATGTGTTCAAAGACGTTTGATATTCCTGTTTTAGAAAGGAGTCCCCAAGTTTCAGCTGTGTGTAAGAAAAACACCTTAAGTGCGGTTGAAACTAGTATTATCAGTGAGCTACAAATTCGAAGTTCCATTTAATCCTGTTGTGAAGTTTTGAAATGCTTTGACATTTAATTTTTCTTGAAAATGACATTCAAAATAACTAGACGTAACATATTCGATCAGCTTAGCGAAGTGTTCAGTGTACCTAATATCGACCGAGGCCGACAAATTAAGAGGTATGATCACCTGACGTTCCAAATAATAAGGCCTAAATGTTCATAGAAAATTGTTTATCTTGGGACAGGAGTGACATCCTTGAGTCTCCTGGTGAGATGCTCGAATTCTGCTAGCCAAACTTAATCGATGCAGCTACCTGATCACCTGTGATCTCTTGTTTTAAAGCGCTCCGGTGGCGGGGATGTAGCGTGTATCTATTAAATGCAACTCGGGTGTCTAAGAGTAAATCTTTAAATGGCCAAAAATATCTGGATTAAAGATTTTTAATGACAAAGGAAGTTCTCATAAACACGTGTGTTTGCCAGAGGTGCCATGAAATAAATTTGACTCTGGATCACTAAAACTCACCAAATCTGATAGCATTTTCTTAATCTAAAAAAACCGTTAGCCTGAAATCCAATTTTAAGTTCATCCTTTTGTTCTCTTGAAACTAATTATTAACAATTCTTCGTGACTGAAGGGCATAAAGTTCTTTTGCCTTTCCACCAATAGGAAGCAGTTTTCGTGTTGTTTCTCATATGAAAGTTTGGTATTGTTTAAAGGAGGAATGGAAACTTATTGCGCGCTAAAGATTGAATTACCTGTGCAAAATTATTAGCCAGATTATCATTCCATAATTTGGGCTGCAAACTTTCGTAAATAGTTTCTAAGCGTGCTTGATTATTGCTCGAGTCAACCGTGTCACCACATCCATCGATAAACGGGCCTGTTAAATTGCTCTCGATGACATTCATTGAAGGATGAGTTGATTGTTGCTTGAAATTACACGGGATATATAAATCTGGTCCCAAATAAGAGTCATTGAACTCAGAATCGAAGTGCATTATCTTCCCGTTAGTAGATGATGGCAGTGAAATAGGAATGGTCGTATTAGGCAAAGTGACATCAGTAGTTCCAGGGTCGTTCTGGTTGCATAGTTCTGTTGCCATTGGGCGGGGACGTGCTCCAACCCCTGTTGGCTGACGAAGTCCCAATGATTGCTCCTCTGATGTTAAAACTGCTATGACAGTCGACAGCAATGCCTAAAATTAAAAAAACTAGTAAGTTTAAGGGCGCAGGCCTACTATTACCCCTCTTGTCACGGTTGGAAAATGATTTGTGTCAATTATTTGTCACATTAGAGAGAATACTTTGCAGATGTTAAGCGCAGTTTATAATCAGAGGATTTACCTCCACGTGGTGCACCCTGGGCAACGTATACTCATACGGCAAAAAAGTCTATTATTCGGCAGTTGACTTCTGACTTCAAACTACCATGACCCGATTGCATGCCATATTCGACAATTTTCACAGTACTCACCTCACCTTTCATCTACCTTTGTGTCTGTCTGTCTCCTCTACATCTGTGAATCACTCTTCTGTCCCCCCCCCCACTTTCGACTTTTTTTCACTTTGATGTTCATCTCCCATTGTGAAGCATGAAGACAACTAAAGGGTTAACGATAACTATCATATAGCCTGCCATTTGATATAAATAAATAAATATTTTCCCCAAATACGCTTTTTACAGGCACATGATGGCAGATGGCTTTTATTTGATTTGTTTTTAACTTGCCAACCCATGGAAGGAAAGCTTATTTTCGCATCCATTTTAGGGTTAAGAAAAACCAGACAAAGCCCATTTATACATCCTTCGTTAAACTATAGGCAAGCAATTAGGTAAATCCGCCTAATTATTGGCCACCTTGGACCCCTCGAAAGATGACTACTACAAATACCACCGCGAATTTTAATCATTTTTGCACACAACAATTTTTCGATTGACTTGCCAATCGAACTACTTCGTCAAACGAGTCGTTAAAGAAAATACTTCAATTGAAAGAATAAAAACTATTCCCGTTTGTAAAAGGTAAGTTTCATTTAAAAATAAATTGTTTGCATCTAACTTTGCTATTGTGATAGGACAAAAAAGAACTTGCCTTTTCCTCTTCAAGCACCCATTGCTGGTAACCCTTCAGTTTGAGCATGTTTATGTACTGAAATACCAAGGTGATGATCTCGTCGACCTTTTCTGCAAAAGTAAGAAAAAACAAATCAAAACGGAAAAAAAGGTGCACAAAAAGCATTTGGAGAGGAGTTTATGGCGTGGGTAAAATATAGATAAACTTCAAATGTAGGCAAGAGAGTTGAGGGAGGGGGAGTGAGCGTGTGACTGACTGATTGACAATCATGAGCACGTTATCGAGAGACGCAATTGGGGTTCCATTGGGACTCTAGAAAAATTTGGCAAATGATAGTTTCAATGCAGGGAGATCGTTGAAACTGGGAGAGCAGCTGGCTGCACAGATGAAATCGTTTATTGACTTGCACTTGGAAGCGCGAGCGAGCGAACGCCCCTCTCCACACTGACTTGGAGATTAATCAGACAACGTTGACCACTTGCAACCACCACCCCGTTGGCTTTTACGTGACGATTTTATTTTTGAGTCGGTGGTTTATCATGAGCCGCAAGTTCACTTTACCCAAAGCCATTATATTCAAAATGAGTATTCCCGCAGACAACGTGTTCTATTTTTTTAGAAGGACTGAAATCCCCCCCCCCCCCGGAACTCCATAATGACTAACGCATTGCCTACAGAGGAATAACCAAATCAATTTCCCATGTAGGAGCCTCAGAAAAGACACATTTTTTTCTGTGGGACAGTTAACCGACAGAGTTGTCTAATCTCCGGTAATTCCATCCAATGAAGCGAAAGACGCTGGGCTTAGGAATAATAGCAAATACCAGCTCCAGTGAATTGCAATAGGGACTTTATTATATATAAAAAAGACTTATTTAATCTACATTGGTTATGATTACTCAAAAGAGTAATTTAGCATCCCAAAAATGGCGCACTTATAAAATTTCCTCTTTGTCACGCTGTTTACATCTCATTTAGGGACAAGCACGAGTGAGATAAACAGCCAATCATAATGTATACAACTGGATTCGAAAAAAAATGTTGCCTTTAGAAGACAAAACACACTGAGGCATAAATCTGTATCGCCTGCAGAGCAAGGGTCACAAATCAGAGAGATGAGCCGATCTACTGTAAACAACCGTCAACTGGTCTTCAATTTAAGCACAGCTATCCGCCTACACAGGCAGTAGTGTAAACTGATTACTAAGGCTCCGATCAACCGTGTGAACCAAAGTGTGCAATGTCAGAGAATAATTTTAAAAATAACTAACTGCAACTAACAGAGGGGGTGGGAGGGTGGGGGGGGGGGGTAATAATTAAGTATCAAATAAATTTCTTTAGTAATACTT